ACTGATAATATGTGCCTATATCATTTTATTAATAATAGTAATTGAATATAAAATACACAGGTAAGCAGATAAAGCACTTCCGTCGTATATAAGTTTTTTAATAAAACATGTATACTAACATATTTTATGTAATAAAAAATAAAATGCTAGTATATCACTCTTCAACTTTTTAGTTTCATTTTTAATCTATAAGTCGCTCAATTCATAATCCTTATTTTCTAACAATAAGTAGAATTGCTAATATAGCAACAAAAGCTTGTGGGACTCTTTTTACACGGTACTTTTGTTTATACGATTCACTATTACGTATTAAACACGTTTAATTCACCTTTACATGTTTTTTCACAGTTACGCCATTCTTTTAACAGGTTTTATTTATATTTGCATGGCTTTCTTTACATGTTTTACTTACTTTTATTTTCAAACCAGGGAAACCCAACGAACATTCAAAGAACATTTTTTCATTAAAACTGTACTTCGTTATCGCTGTCATAAGCAGAAACCTTTTTTTATATTATATGTTTTTATTGAATAAAATGTTTAATATTGAATCTCATTCGACCGTATATGTGAGAACACAAATCAATAGAATCAATGCCTTTGACGGTCTTAGGATGAACAAAACGTTGTTATGTATGTAGTTCTATTTTAAATTACTTTTTATTCTATTGCTTGCTTTAGTTTAATACAAGTTTTATACTTTATTGCAAACTCCAATTGTTTCACGACTTTTTTATACGGTTCTTTTTTTATACGGTACGCATCCACTGTGTAAAGAGAGAGAGAGAGTTCTAAGTTCATAAAACAAAAATAATGGGACTATAATATTATTCTAAAGTTGATAACAATCAATCTAAATATTTACTTATATGATAACTATAATGTTATGAAATGTAATGATAGCAATATAAAAATAAAATTAGGATATTCTGACTTAATAAAGAAAATGTGTTTTTAAATTAACCTTTTATTTAACTTGAGTTAATTCAATTTTAGCGTAACTTTGAGTTAATTTTTTGTTTATTTAACTTTTAACTTAACTAAATGAATTTTATAAGTATCGATCTTAACTTAATCTAGTTTAAAAAAAAATATTAACTTACAACTTTTTAGTTGTAATAATATTAATGCTCATTGACCTTTTTCAATCACGCGTATTTTGAGACGAAATTTAATGCAAAAAAACGCCCCCGGGTGGGCTCGAACCACCAACCTTTCGGTTAACAGCCGAACGCGCTAGCCGATTGCGCCACGGAGGCACATGAATCTAGGTCATCGTTCTCTCGAAAATAAAGTACAGTAGATTGTACTCGTTCATGTTTCGATAAAAAATATTTATCAATAGTCCGTTTGAATGTACTGCATTACATAATTATCTTAAAAGAGCTATTCGTATAAAACCAAAATTTATATCCTTATATTTACCAAAATTTATATCCTTATATATTTATTTCACTTTTATTTGATACATAAGGTCTATTCGCGTTACATGTACTTTTTGCACTCAGCATCTTTGCTTTCTCTTGCTTTAAGATCCGAATATATATGCATTTATCTTCTTTCAAGTTCAAAAATTTTTAGGGATTTCAAGTAACGCGAACAAACCTATAATAAGTGCTCTACGAGACGAGTAATTTCTATATAACAGTAATAACCAATTCAAAACTAATAAGAATCAGCGGGGAGAGGGTGCGCAATATTAATGTGGAATGATGACTTAACTCCATTTTTCTGTGTTTTCTTTATTCAAAGTATTGATTGAACGTTTCGACTCTCTTTGGAGTCTTCCTCAGCAAACAATCATAACATAATATAGTTTGGTAGTCCAGACATGTTCGATACTCCGAACCACAAATATGGAAATTAGATTTGATTAAATGATGGAATTTTTGTAATTAGTAAATTTAAGAATATCTAAAGCTTCTTAATATAATTGCAATCCGTTAAGCGTTCACTTCAGACTTAAATACCTGTAGAGTAACTTTTCTTGACAGACTAATTATTCATTTGCAGTGACATTTCATTGGAAATCAAAGGACTCTCGTAGTCCCAGCTATAATCCCACAATTTTTCCAATTAAAGAGCTGGTGAAGGAAGGTTTAATTAAAAACAAGAAAAATAATGAATTTCATATAGAAGAAGTTGAGCAAGAGTTGAGCTTTTTTTTAGAAGAAAATGAAGATGATCTTATTCTCTGACAAATGATCAAAAATGTGAAGTACAAATTAAATGTGAGAAATTAGACTCTGAAAGATCAAGCATATACGTACTCATATGTAATCGATTAGGTACTTATAGTGACAATACAAAGTGTTCTGCAAAAACACAAATATGCTACCCATCATCAACTCAAATTTAACGTATATTTTCAAATTGGTCCTTTATTCATTCGCTCCTTCAAAATCATTTAGATTTTGATCGATTAAAAAGACTGTTACATATATATATATATATATACTCTTAAAATTACTGACTCAAACGTTTGTGATCATTACTAACAATAAGTCTTATACATTAAATACATAAATAACATGGTAAGTTTATTTAATTTATATAATCTAAATATTTAAAAAAAAACATTTAAAATATAATTATATAGATAATTCAAATCAAGTAAATCAAGAAGTTAAAAAGAAGCCTTTAAGAGCTAAGCACAGATTATAAGTGTGTGAATACATATACTTTATTATAAAAGACAAATATACGTTTCGATCCTAATTTGGATTCTCTTCAGTATAAGCTTAATATTTGGATAAAAATAACATAATCATAAAAATCGTCAAGAATATCGAAATAAAGTTGTCAAAAATATCAACGTAAAAGAGTTAATATATGGTCAAATATTGACTAGTTCTTACCTCCACATTTTATTAATTATTATAATTATATGGATTTATAATTACAAAGGAATATGTAATAAAAGTACAGGAGAGAGAAATAAAACTTGCTGGAAGTAATTAGAAAAATATATAGTTATAAATTATATAGTTAATGTATATACATATACAATTTTATTTTTTATTTTCTATATATTTTCATATATGTTGCTCTTTTTTGTTTATTAAAGATACTATGTAAATCTTTTGTCTTAATTTTATTAAACATACTTTATTTAAACAAATTATATATACAATTATACATATATGTACAATTTATGACATGTATAATAAATACTAATAAATACTTGATATAAAATTAAATAGAAAATAAATTAATACTTTTGTTTTAACCTAATATATAATATAATAAAATGAAAATTTTTTATATATCTCTCTCATTTACTTTATTTTATTGAGATTTCCTTGAAATTTACCATACAATTTTTAATATAAATTATTTCTTCAATTCATTTCTTTAAATTATATACCCTCAGACCATCTCACTTAGGATCTGTCACTCCATAAGACAATTTATAATAAAATTGCATATGGACGTCCAAGTAATATACAAAGAGAAATTAATGTGTTCACTCGACTATAGATTAAGTAATATGTATAAATTCGTACTAATACTCGACTAGTTACTTATCATTTTATATTGTATCACTGAGAATGATCACATAAAAAACCAATTAAAGAATTATCATATTGTCGAAACATTTGAATTTATTTACTGACTCACTTTCTTGTTTATATATAATAAATTCGACACAAGACACCTAGCGCGGCTCAAACAGTTCTCTAATATTGTGTTATCCGAATTTACATTCTTCAGAATCTTATAACTTACTTATTTTAATCTTATCCCAGCAAACGAAAACGGATTGGATTGGATTAATCCGTATAAATCAAGTTTTCGAATCCGCATTATCTGCGAAAAAGGTATTAAATTTTACAGAAACTGTACACACTGAATACGTTTCTAGATAAATATAATAATGTGAACTCTTATGGATTCATATAGATTAAAAAATGAAATGCTAGTCTGCGATCCCAGAAAGTGATTTATCGTTGGAAAACATGCACCAAAGTGATCACAAATATATGAATCGTTTCTTCCCGAATGAGTTCCAGTACTATAAACAGAGTATACAACATTACAGATTCACGGTAATAGTTAGGATGACTCCCGAATATAATCTGCACTGTCATGGCCAGGGTTATGTCTAGAAATTACCTTGTCGCCATGGATCCACAATGTTACACACTTTGTATATCACACCGGGATTTTTGTTTGGGAGGCAACGATTTATGTATATTACCTCGGTGCGTGCTTTTCAACGATATTACTTGCTGAGATCGGTAACTAGCAGTTGGTGGATCTCCCATGTTAGACAATTCTTCAATACCGCACATTAAATTCAAATGAATTAGTCGTACGTTTATTACTTTGAATATTGGGTAAGACACCAAAAGTAAATTACTAATATATAATTACGGTTTCAATCGGATTGGTCGCATGTTTCATTTCTATGCACATTGAGATACAGAAAATAAATTAATCGATAATTACTAATTCAAGTAGATTACGGATAGAAAACAGATTTAAAAAATTCAAAAACTTGACTCGACATTACTTCAATAAATATTTTCAACATTTCTCAATAATTTCTCGTTTACTGGGTAAGATGATGACGGATGCATGCAGCCTAGGGCCATGGCTAATGTTTACTCTAAAACACGAAGTATCAAATACGTCTAGGTTCTGATATGGATTTGCGATAGGTCATGTATAGAACATTACTTTGGTGTTTAAAAAGCAGCGTTTAGATGTCGGCTCAGAAGAGGTTAATGTGTAAACCAAGTATGACTGGCAAAATTATTAATGCATATGCTGACATGCACAACGTGAGGATTGCACATGGCATACAAGACGTAGAATTAGACGAAATAGACAATGAAAACTTGCATCATAGGCTCAATATAGATCATAAAGGCAGAATTTCAAGGACGAACACTTGCCGCATACAGAAACGTTTTATTGTAGAAGATACTGTGAAAGGAATTTATTTATTTATTTAAAAGTAATAATAACATTTTTAACCTTATCTAGTGGTGAAGAAATTGGACGTTAATTTGTTACGTACTTATTACATTTAAACAAATATCAATTTCTTTTAAAATAAAGCAGCAGTACAAAAAACATATACAGAATAAATTCAAATCTATTAATTTTTGTCCAATATCTTTTCCATTAATCTATGTACACTATTCATAGTTTGAAGCAGATCTTTATCTATTTGTAACTTTTTCTCATTCAATGTAAGCCGTTGTTCATCCAAAACGTTCCGTTGACGGTCATTTTCCGCTGCTATCATTGCAGCATTAGCCTGCTTCATTGCAGCTTCTGCAAACAACTATAACACAAAAGATAAAATATTTTATTATATAATAAACTTGGCTTACATATCGTAATGCAATATTAAATATGTTACCTGCAAAGCTTTAGCATTACTTTCTGAAATTTCCGCAAATCTTTGTCGTGTTTTTTGCAATTGCACATTAGTTCCTAAATTCTTTTTTTCTATAAAATAAATAAATAATAACATACACATGTAGCCTTAATTTTATACATATATATATATTAAGATCTTCGGATAATAGAGAAATTGGAATAAACATTGAATTAAATATAAAAAATAAAAATAGATTAAACACAAAAATAGATTAATACACAATGAATACAAATAAGATAGAAGATATTTTGAATGTTTTATGTCTTATGTGTATCTATTGTGCATTATGTAACCTCTATTTCTCGTTTCTTGACGTTAATATTTAATATTTATTCTTACTCCTTTATTTTGTACATAGTTTTACGCGCATGTATATGCTTTGTTTCAAAACAATTTGAACACAGATTGTGCGTTTATTCTGCATTATACTATATTTTACATAAAACTACACTTACTGACGCAATATATTTTATTTTTAATTCGCTGTATTGTTCTCGTTCTCCTTCTTTTTGTATTAGGCCTTCCTTCTGCATGTGTATTGATTTTAATGACTTGTTCATTATTTAAACATTCTACAACATCTGTCAGCTCATCAGTTTCCTTATTTATCTCACTTCCTAAGTTTTCTTCAAGCGTACGTGGTTCTGTAAATATAAATATGTATGTGTATATGTGGTAAATACTAGGAAATGGAAGTAACTCGTCACTTGTAACGAAGTTACAGTTACAAATTACCTTTTTGGTAACTTTACTGGAAACTGCGTTACTTTCTTTTGGTAACTGTAACGGTAACATAGTTACATTTTTTGGTAACGGTAACGAATTTTACAGTTACTTTTGTCGTTACTTTGCACACGATTGGACACTGTTCGATTGGACACTAGACATAGGCGTTTGAGATTAGAAAGCCCTTAGGCACTTTACTGCTGTGATTGGTGGTTGTCGATTTTAAAAAAGTAACGGTAAAGTAACGAAAAGTTACTTTCTCAAGTAACGGTAACTGTAACGAATTAGTTTTAAAAATCAGTAAGTAGTAATCGTAACTTAGTAGTAATGTTACTCTTTCTACTCGTAACGAGTAACTTGTTACCTTTATAAAGTAATTTTCCATTCCCTGGTAAATACAATTTGTAATACATTGGTTGCATTTAGTGGACTTAACAGTTGAGTAAGCGCTCGCTACTATTAGTATATTCGTCTAGATCTGATTAGATGATCTAAAAGAACAACAGCGAGCGCTCACTCAACTGTTGAGTCCACTAAATGCAGCTATTAAATAGTCTTTATCTTATTGTGTAACAGTATATTATAAAATGCGTAGATAATAATTTTTTTGTATATGTTTATATATATATATATATGTATGTAAAATATATATTTTTACCAGTATTAATATCCGTATCGTTTTCGACATTTATTATTTCAACTGACGTCGTTGCTGGAGGATATTGAAGAATATCATTGTTTCCATTTTTTTCTAACTGTATCTGATGTGCCTATGAAAGAAAAAAATATACAAAATGGCATTATACATCCTTATATATTAATCACGTTCAAAAGGTTGTTTTGTAACTGCTGTAATGAATCTCATTGTTGAATGTTGTATGTTTTTAGATTTAATCCTGATTGTTGCTCGCACGTTCTCGACAGAGATAAATCAAAGTTATTCTTAGAAGAAAATATTAGTAATCATATCGATCAACTATTGAACAACATAATATTTAATATTACAAAGATAGCATAAATACTTGTAAAGTATTTGCTACTAAATTTGCAATAGTTTCAAAGCAATTTTTCCAGAATATAACCATTATTATATATTGTATTAAACAGCTTCTGTTTTTCAGCGTCTGCTTTTGAACTTTTAATTTAAATGCGCCCTTATATACTTATTTCGCTGTACAAGTAGAAAATGCAGTAAAAAAAAATAAGCTATATATTTCCAAGGAAACATAAAATAAAATTAAGATTGCACAATGCAAACAAAAGAATGTATGTACTTCTTCTTCTAGAATACTATACACATACTCACAATTATTTTCCACATATTTCAAATCAATGCAACTAAAATGATACGTTTCTGTAAATTATCTAAACCGTTTGTAGTGATTGGAAAATTTCCAATTCAGTTTCTTTTATTTCTTCAATTTAGATGATTTTTTTAATGCATTATTCTTTAAATTGCATCAAATCTGATGGTTATATACATAAATACGTACATTTCATAATACTTACGGTTTGCCACTGCTTCACTGCCTTGCCAGGGCCCTCGGACAATAAGTCATTGCGATTTGTTATTATTTGTTCTCGTTGTTTTATAAGGTGAATGTTATCTTCTTTAGTTATAAATCTGTTTGTTGCGAATTCTGAATTTGTCTCCATGTATTTCATCAATTCTTCATTTTGTGCTCCCTCTATGTATAAAGCCTGCACAACGACGATATTATTACTATGATAACAAGTTAAAGAATACAGGGGCTGGCGGATGTTGTGTCGGAACAATTAAGTTGTTCGTCGGAGCCTCCGAACTTGTGGACATTGATAGTCGAATTACCTGCGGCATGCAAGAGAGAGATTCAGGTAGTCGTGGAGGACGAGATGCCTGCTGATCGGCTGGTTCATGAAAGACATCTGGTTGTTTGAAAACTGAAGGGTCCAGCCCCTCCTGTGACAAGAGGGCCTTCTTAAGTCGCCGCCTGGCTTTAGTTCTCCAGCCTCCTCGTCGTGATCGTCCCATCTGTGACAGAAATTGATGCATTCTAAAGTCTCCTTTATAACGGAGTAGAGATGTGTATTTTGTGAATGTTCCGTCACTTTAAACTTCTACTGACTATAAGATCTGAAGAATCAATAAAAATGATCCTAGCATTCACTGGTTTTCTTAGGCCCTGCGCACAATGGAGGAAATATTAGAAACAGGAATAGATATTAAGATTTTAACCTACCAGATACCAGTTACACCGGAATATACGGTTTCTGATAGGTTAAAATCTTAATATCTATTCCTGTTCCTAATACTTCCTCCATTGTGCGCAGGGCCATACATTGTGCCGTCTGCGCGTGCGCGCGTTGACGCATATACATAAATCAGTCACGAAAGCATCTTTTTTTCGATGTCTTTCGGAACGCAATTTGCTCTTCGAATGATTGGTTCTTACTTATGGATCTAAAATTCTAGTCATTTACGTTCAACCACTCTACGAGCAAAGCTGAAGGTGAAATCCCATGGAGCTAGCGTACTGCGTAAAGGAGCTAATTAGCCAGTCACAGACTTTACGCCCGTTTTCGTTAGGCCGGAATCGAACTATGCATTGAAGACTGAGATTAAAGATTAAAGATTGAAATTCACCAATAAGGATAAAGAAATTTTGATTCCTTTTGTTCTGATTAGTCAAACTTCAATCTTTCAATCTTCAATCTTATTCTTCAATGCGTAGTCTGATTCCGGCCTTACGCCAGGGTATCAATCATAAAACTTTATCTCTAGGATGGAAAGTGAAAAGTGAAAATTTTTACCATTGAAATTAATGAAGAAATTTTTCACTTTTCACTATCCATCGTAGGGATAAAGTTTCATGATTGATATCCTGTACAAACATCGAGTGTCCCATGGAGCATATTTACGCCGGCGTAATGATCAATAAAGGCCCGTCTACAATACACAAAGTAAGAAGTAAGAGTAATAGCGTTTTCGGCCCGGCCAGGTTTGCACCAACCTGGGTTGGATTAATGGCGTTTTGTGCTCTTCTATTGGTAGAGCGGGTGACGTCAACCAATAGGAAAGATTTATCCAACCCAGGTTGGTGCAAACCCGATCGGGCCGAAAACGCTATAAGAAATTGACCAATCACAGTTGAATGTGAGAAGAATAATCGACTGTGATTGGTCAATTTCTTACTCTTACTTCTTACTCCGTGTATTGTAGACGACGCCTAAGATTGTGGTAAAATTCTAATTTCTGTAGCCCAGAAGAGGCAAAAATCCTAAGTTACACTGTAATAGACCGAGAGAAATCGATGAACCACTTCCAAACCCGCGTGAAAATTCTAAGTTCTTATTTATTATTACGAGAAAATTTCCAAGTTCACGATTTGAACGTCACGAGAAATTTACAAGTTCTTATTTCGGAACCACTTAAAATTTCTAAGTTCTTGTTCTGATGTTGCGCTAAAATCTCTAAGTCCTATTCGACGATTGCGAGAAATTTCTAACAATAAATATTAAATCCAAAATTTCAAAAATTTATAAATACCTTTGTGTTAGTTTCGTGAGTCATTCATAACTCGTACTTCAAAAGGAATACTCGGCGTGATTCCTGAGTAATGCGTGCAGGTCCTGCAAAGGACTAGTTTATATTTGTATGTATACATCATGAGGTGACGTCTCGCGGTAAAGAGGGTGTCGTGAACATGCGTCAACATCATGATCGAGCATCTAGAATTCCACGAGACCTAATTAATAAAATAATCGTGCTTCCAAATGCAGATTTGTAGTAACTAATATTAAGGGAGTTGCAAGCCTCCTTTGCGATCATTCGCGCTCCAACTCGATCGAAATCTCATCATCAAGTGAGTTCTTAATTATCGCAGTTTTTCTATATAAGTTTTCGCGTATCTTATTCTCGCGATTATTAACTGCTTTATATAACGACTGATTCGGTTAACAAATTTATTATTGGTTTTATGGTGCGAACGCTGACATTCGATAATTAATATTTTTTCCCAAGTAAAACAACAAGTCATTATGATATCATAATAATGTCAAAATGACTCTAAAATGATCATTAAAAGTCATTTTTCAATCATTTTCGAATCATTTTAATATCATTTTGACGTTATTGTGACTTGTTGCTCTCCTTGGGTTTTATAACGATTTAGAGTTTTGCAATAATTAATTGATTATTATGTAAAACCTATTTTGACAGAATTATGATCTTCCACCGCAAATCTTTAAGTATTTTAATGGAGCGACGTTCTATATAGGATACTTTAGTTTATAAAAATTATATGTCGTCACAATTAAATGTTAATCTAATTGTCTCACGTAAGCGCGGAACGTTGGCCATTTGGGACGTTCACGCGCTGAACACGTAAACGCCGCCTGTGAATAGAGTTTTCGCGTTTACGGTACGAACTCATGCGTCGTGTTACTATATAATAACGTGGTGCATCCTTTCCTTGCATCCGTGATGAACGGCGTGTCAGCTGTTTAAATAGCACAAAAAGGATTTAATCATACGTCATCAATTCTGAATTCATTTTGAGATGCAAAAAGGATTCTTTTTCTGAAAAGTTTTAAAAATTCTTTTTGCGTTTGAAAATGAACTAAGAGTTGATGACATACTAAATTAAAAAAAATTTTTTTTAACTCTCTATGTTATTTGAGTGATCGGCTGATGTTCGCTGGACGTTACACATTATTATAACATAATCTAATCAAACGAATGATAATCTTAATTCCCTAAGAAAAAATATAATTATAATAAGTTTGGCTCTTGGGAATTAGCGCTGTACTATGTGCGCAATAAATAATCTAATCAGACAGAGATCATTATTATTCTTAGACAAATTTGATCTTTCTAATTCTATAATGCAATAATATATAGATACATATATATATGCAATAAAAAATGACATATACAGAAAAAAATTTAATTTTCATACAATATATAATGTAACTTTTAGCATTAATTAATTTTTTTTATTATAAAACATATTTTTTTTCTGTTTAAGAGGAAAAATTAAGACGAGTAGATTTTTATGTAAACACTTGTGAGCTTTGTGATAAGAAATGTTATTCTCAAGATATTCGGCGTCGATTAATTGAAGTGGACAAGCCTATTGTACGTATAATCGCAAAGTACCAAACGATCGATTAAAACATCAATTTGCATTTAAGCGTAACTAACTCGATGTGCAGCACTCATGTGCTGTATGCAAAGCACGCGCAACCGATCGCAGGTAGTCAATTGCTACTTGCGCCTAGTACAAATTTCTACTTTGCATGGCGAAAGCGTCATTGTGTACATTGAAGTAATGATGCCGGTGGTATTAGTACTTGAAAGTTACCGTGAAAGGAAGATATGTGTTCAAGTACTGATTCGACGCACGCGATGATTCTAATTCGTACTTTCGAATCGAAAATGAGAAGTGCGACTTGAAAGCAGAAGCACTTTACACATTTAAAATATTCCAAACGAATCCTAATCAGTCTTTTTTAATGCCAAATAAAACGTTTCTTGAAACAATTTTTTTAATTTTCGATGTTACTTTACATTTATAATAAAGTTCCAAATTTAGATTTTTTTAAATTCAATAAATTCCGTCTCTAAAATGTAATGAAAAAATCAAAATTCTCGATCAATCATTACATTATATGTACGCGATATTTAACTGAACAATTATACATTATATAATTATAATTAGGTAATGTAATGTTGTACAGTTACATTATGTACTATTTTATATGGTTGCTCTAAAAAGTATAAGTATCCTACAGACTACAAATTATAGTTAAATTATAATAATTACAACTTCCCTATAGCAACTACAGTTTGTAGTCATTTTGGTATCAATGTATGTATGTATTGATAGAACTATACTATACATCTATTATTATTATTAACATTGTAGCAGTAATAATGGTAACATGTATTTAATTATAAAGTCATAAATATCAAAAACTTTTCTCTTAGAGTAGAAATAGAACGCGTCAGTCTTTTGGAAAGTTACAGTAACAATATTTTCCTAGTTATAAATCATTAATTGCAATTGCAGCAAAGAACCACGGATCTTGTTTAAATTAAGACAGTAGTCGGACGAGCAGCTAAGGTGTCGATAATGAATCTCCGTGTTAATTAGCCTTCGGCCAAGCAAGGCGATAGGTAGTTCGTCGTGGCATACTGATATCTGCCTCCTTGCCAGTCCTGGGCGAAGTAAAGCCTAACTGAAACGTCACCCCACTTGTTACTCGTTAGTGTGCACGATGCCATCTTTACTGGCGGCCGTGCGGCCCAGTTATGTCGTCTCCGGTAGCCGGTATCGATATCAGCACGACCGTGTAATTAACAACGTTTCTCAGTTTTTTATACCTGTTTCGGCGAAATGCACCGTTTCTCGACAGATTTTGGACGGAGATGCTTATCCAACTTATCAATACTAATCCGAAATTGACCGTTAAGTTGTAGATAATAAATGTATGTCGGAAAGTCAAGCAGATATGTTATCGTTTTATTGCTCGAATTTTTGAATCTTTAAATTGTTTTATTTAAAAAAAACTTATTGTAATTAAAACATCCAAAATTAATTTTATACGAAAAGAATGGTTTTGTTAAAGTATATTTAGCTGGATACAGGTCTCTGAAAATCATGTTATTGGTTTGAACTACCATTATGTTGAACTATCAAAATAATTTAGGATACTCAAACAAGTTGCTGGAAAACTTTTTGCTACAGCATTGCTCATCATAGTTGAGATTCCACGTAAATTATTTTAATGCTTCAATAAAATTATTTTCAGTTCTGTACCTAGCTAAATTTTTAGATACTTCTGTAAAATTGGTGTTTCTGTATACATATTCCATTTTTAAAAACATATTCAATTTTGTGACGTAAAAGTATATCAATTCGAAAAAATCGCAATTTAAATTTGTCTTCCGCAAGCATGTGCGCGCTTTGAAAAATAATTATATTAATGTTATACCTGATTAGATAAACTTTTACTTAAAAAATATATTTCTTTAAATATATTCTATTACTTAAAATATACTGTACAAAATTATACATTATATTGTACACACTATATTATATAATATAATGTATAAAATTAAACGAAATATCACATTATTGATTTTCTTGAGAATATTTGAGTATTGAACTTGAAGTGGTTATTAGAAATTTATATAGC